TTGTGTAAATGGTAGAAACCTGGCCCTTTTATGCTAATCAACACACGCACACATGATTAGCCTCGTTCCTGTAACAGTGAACTCTCCAAAAACTCTTCCATCTTCCACTTAATGCAAACCTGTTTTCATGGCTCTTTATCCAGCAGGAACGGTTTAAAATGCTTCACGTTAAAAACACATCTGAATAAGAATTCCTCAAAGTCATCACAGCAGACACACTCGAGAGAGAAACAGTGATGTGACATTTTCTTAAAGGCTTTTTGAGTTATGGCTTTACATGAGAAGCGCCTGAGAAATTTTATTTTTAAATTTTTTGTTTATTTGAAACAAAGTTACACAGAAGGAGAGAAAGAAAGATTGTTCCTTTGTTAGTTTATTCTGCAAATAGCTACAGTAGCCCGGGCTGCAGAAAGGTGAGTTCAGAAGGCAGCAGCTTCCTCTAGCTTTCCCTGGCAGATGGCATGGGCCCGGGCACTTGCAATCTCCTTCAGTACTTGCCCAGGTGCTTTGTGAGGGAGCTGGGTGAGGTGCAATAGCTAGCACATGAACTGGCACCCATAGGGGATGCCTGTGTTGCAGGTGGCGGATTATTTAGCTATGGTGCAGTGCCAGCCTTTAGAAGTTGCTAAAACCCTCCACTACCACCTTCCTCTTATTTTGCAGTGGCCTTAAGGAAAGAGTTTTCAGAGCTAGTATCTAATGTGCAGGCGGAACTGGTGCTTCCTGGCTTAACATGGTAATTTCTAGGTTGAGTGCTAGTTAACATATGAGACTTTCTCAAAATTAGTGGGAAAATGGAAGGAGATGTTTAAATTGTTGCAAAAAAAAATTTAACTCTGTGCATAGTTTTTGTACAATATACATTTCTATAAAGTTTTTCAAGATCCATTTGTTTAACTTTGACAGTAACTCCAATGTCCAGTATATGTTTAAATTGAAGGCTAAGACATGTTAAATTATTTGTCCAAAGTAACAGAGAACAGTATTTTTTTTTAATAGATAAGGCCAGCTCTACATTCGGCACACAACTCTGCTGAAATATACCCATCCTACACAAACATGTTAAGGAAGTATTGGAGTGTATGTTTCCTTTGTAAGAAAAGCCTTAAGAGTCACCTGTAATAGATAACTCTGATAATGGCAGGGAGATTTGACTATTTACTCACTTGTCTTTTTCTGGTAATAGAAAGTGAATGATTGGACTCATTCCTAAGCATTAAACCTGGGCTTGAGGACATGCATTTGGTCAAGTGACTAAGATGCCCACATCTCGTGTGGGGACTGGAGTCTCAGTTTTGCTGAACCCAGCTTCCCGTGAGTGCTTACTGGGGAAGGTCACGACTCAGATGGTCAGGCCATGCCGTCCATGTGTGAGACTTATATATAGGGTCTCAATGACCAGAGCTGAGTTCAGGCTCCTGGCTTCAGCTTGCTCCGTTGCTAGTACTAACGCACACTTGCAGAACGAACAAGCTAATTGATGATATCAGTCTCTACTTCTTTGACTTTAAAACAATGAACCCTTCTAACTACTTTATTATCATATATTCTTAACAAGGGAACTGAATTTCTTTTTAAAAAGTTAAACAAGGGGCTGGCATTGTGGTGGATCAGGTTCAATAGCAGCCTGGAGGCTGACATCTCATACAGCTGCTGCTTTGCGTCCCGGTTGCTCCACTTCTAATCCAGCTGTCTGCTAATGCGCCTAGGAATGCAGCAGAGGATGGCTAACATCCCTGCGTGCCTGCTCCTATGTTGGAAGCTGAGATGAAGCTCCTCTTAGCTCGTGACTTCAATCTGGCACAATCCTGGCCGTTCGCGGCCCTTTAGGGAGTCAGGGAGCAGGTGGGAGATCTTTCTCGCTCTCTCCCTGTTTCTGTTAAAATAAAATAGAATAAAATAAGACAAAGCAAAAGTAAATGCACTGGACAACAAAAGCCATGATTGTGTGTTCTTTGTCATGGTCGAGTGCATCTGTCATGCTCTTTTGGATTCTTCTCAGAACTTTCAGCAGGTCTTGAGTGTTTTCAGCAGCTTTTTAAAGTAAGTACTGCACTTACAGAATGGTTATAAAAGAAAATTAGTGTGGATCTTTATCTTGCACCATCTTAACATGCTCTAGCAGATTAGGAAGAGACTGGGAAGTTTGAAAGAAAAGAAATCGTTATCTTGTACAACATCAGTGTTCCAAGATCAAGGTGCAAGCACCCGATGAGGGGCTTCTCACTGCCTGTCCTGGGAGATGGGGAAGGCGAGGATGCTACGTCCTCACACTCTGAACGAGAACTACAAGGTCTCCAAACTCCTCCTGAAGCCTTTGCATGGGCAGCGGATTCGAAACAGACATTCCTCCATGAGGTCTCATAGGCACCACCACTTAGTACTCTCACAATTGCAATATGTGAATTTTTGAAGGACACACAAATCATTGGAACCTTTTATTCAGTGTACTCTCAGTTCATATTGTTAGTACAAGGAGATGGATATTATTGTTCGTTAAGTATTAATATGGATAATGTTAAAATTTTGTCACCTCTCACCTTGACCACTACTATAACTACATAACTGCCCTGGGCTCCTAATCTTTCTTTCTCTCTCTCTCTCTCTCTCTCTCTCCACCTATATCTATATCTATATCTGTATATCTTCATATAGGTATATATTTTATACACACACACACACACCCCTTCAGTTATGTTTGGGTATATTAACACAGGAAGTGTCTCGCACTTGGGGTTACCTTTAATTGAAATACCTTAGCTATTTCCTGTAGGATAAGGCTAACCTCTCTTGTGTTGGCATTTTATACCCACTGTATTTCATTTTCTGCATAGATCTCTAGCCCTACATCTTTTGTAAAGATTTGTTCATTTTCATCGGAAACACAAATCTATACAGAGAAGACACAGAGAAAGATCTTCCTTCTGCTGGTTCATTCCCCAGATGGCTGCAATGACCAGAGCTGAGTCCATCTGAACCCCAGAGCCAGGAGCTTCTCTGTGTCTGCCACATGGGTGCAGGGTCCCAGGGCTTGCAGACATACTCTGCTGCCTTCCAAGGCCATAATCAGGGCACTGGAAGGGAAGTGGAACAATGGGGACGTGAACCCGTGCACATGTGCAATTCTGGTGCTTGTAGGAGGAGGATTAGCCAACTGAGCCACTGCATCTTCCTGTCATCCCTGCAGTCCTAACTTTGAAGGCAGAGGCTTTCTGTCATCTGTCCTTCCAAGCTACTTTGTAATTTTATCTCACTCTCTCCCTTTCAATGGCAAACTTTCACCTTCAAACTTTTTAGTATGTGAGGATAGTACAAATACTGGACTTCCATATGTTCATTTTCGTGAGCCAGTTGTTGAGTTTATTTATGAACATGAGTTTTACTGTAAAATATGTGTACATTGTCTCCAGTGTCTGGTGAACATATTACAAAAGAGGCATTGAGTGTATATGAGTATAGCTATTGTAGAACCACTGAAGCATTTTTTTGAGTGGAAATCCCAACGCTGTAGGACTGGCTTGTACTCAGCAAGTAATATTGCATCGTTGTGTACTGAATGTCACTGACAGTTTTGATCAGCAAAATCAGTAAATATCAAGGTAAGCCGCTCAGATGCCCCATTCCCTGCTCTTGGGTATTCAAGTACTCTCCCTCTAGTTTTTTGGAGGTGATTGACAACTGACGGCTAATGAGCCACTCTCACAATTTTGTGGCTTCCTTTGAGTTTTTTCCAAGGGCAGCCCAGTCTAGGGTGCCGCAGGAATCCATGGCCTGTTTGTGTACATGTGTGACTGTATAACAGTCCAGGTACTCCTTCTGTACAGTCATGTCCTTGTCTCCTTCCTGGAGAATGATCATCCACCACTCCTCAGTTAAAACTTGGCAATGAATATCTCAGTGTTTGTTTTCCAGGAGACTGGTCAGTGACCCCTACTGGCCTTTCCTGATGAAATCATTCACAATGTATTCTCTCCTCCATTTGTTAAAAGACCATTTGTTCATCTTCATAGATGCATGCTTAATGACTGTCGCGTGTCCAATATTTACTCAAGGAGCCGAAAGTAGTTTTTGCCCTAATTCCAGCCTTTTCCAATTTCTCCACACTTATATTGTTTTTCAGAACTCTTTACGGTCTTTCACATTCTTTGCCTGTTCTTGTGCTTGATGTATTCCTTGCTATTCCTTCCCTGCCTGCCCTTCTCTGGTTAAGGTATACCTTTCCTTAATAATTTAACTCAAATTATCTGTGTCAGACTATGTGGGGGATGCCTACTGGGGGGGGGACAATTGCATTCATCTGGTTTGTCTATTAGTCCCAATATTTTTACTCCCATCACCAAACTGTAATTGCCTTGCATGTAGAAATTTAGAAATATATACTATATATATATTCATATATAAAAATGTGTGCCTGTTAACTGAGTAAGAAAGACCTAAAAAAAGGTTTTGATTCTATTGTGTGTAGATCTAATTATCCTAGCATGCTGATTAATTGGTAGTTCCAATATAATTTATATTCCAAGAAAGTAAAAATGGTGGAATAAAATATTCCTTTGATATTTCAGTGCAATCTTTTTTTTCAGCAGCCACTTTTTTCCCCCAGATATATTCAGTTGTGCCTTTGCAAAACTTAAATGCTGCCTACTATATTATATTATTAATCTTGTGTTTCCTCTTCTTTTGATGTGATTCCTTTACATATTCTCCAAGCCCATATGAATCTAACAGGTGTCTGTAAAATGAAAACTGCAAAGGAATCTTAAATACTACAGATCCCAAAAGGACTGTCTTTATGTAGTACCGCAGCCTAGCAATATTTTCTTGTAAAAGACTTGGATAATGTCAAAATTATGACAGAGCACTTGATACCTATACTTCAGGGGATTTTATTCCTTCTTTATTCTTGCACATGGATTTCTGAATGCTTGTTGAATGTTTGGATTTGACAAAGTGAATCAATTTGTAAATTATTATCTTGTTGGTTCTGTCTTTATCTTTAGGTACATCTGTGACAAATGTAACGGCGACTGATGCTGATGACCCAGTGTATGGAAACAGTGCGAAGTTGGTTTATAGCATCTTGGAAGGACAGCCTTATTTTTCCATTGAGCCTGAAACAGGTTTGTGGCTTAAAGTTTGAATTTGATTTGCTGTGTTTTTGCTTGAGGGAAACTCTTTTCTTGGGATTTGACTTATGAAATGTTATGGTGAAGTCGTTTATTGCCTGTACTGGTGATATTTGAATGAGTGATGAGAGGTACATTGTAAACCTCACATTGACAGGGATACTCATTAAAACGGGTCTGGAGCTTCTGTAGAATATCACCTGTTTCCCAGATGGTCTCACGTAATTTTGTATCCTGCAATAATGGGCAAGATGTGCATGTAAATCAGATAGGCTTACCTGTGCGGTTTAAGTTCTGGTGCCACGTGACTGCGTCGTCCTTGATGAGTAGCACTTATCTGTTCCTCTCAGTTTTAATTCTCACATCTGTACCATGGTTGTGGAACCAATCTCCAAGTGTTACGATGAAGATATGATAAAGCTATGAATGCCAAACATATAAAGTGGCATGTGACAATCATTCCCTGAGTGCCAAATGCTAATTTTACTGCGCTTGGGTTCTTCCTTGTAAATGACAGTACTGATATCCATCTCCTTAAGTTCATATAATGTTGGTCATAATAATAATAAATATCTGACTAATATAACCAGCCAATATCTTATAGTCTGGTGGAAAATATTATGCATAACATAAATTAATTATTTAAAAAATATGCATTTTTTTCTTATTTGAAAAATGATTTCATAAAATTAACACTTTGTATAAATGAAAATATGTCCCCTTAATTGTTTGAAGAGTGTATTAAGAGATCAATCTGTTTTTTCAAACTGTTTTACGATCTGTGCGATTTCACTGTAACATACTGAGATTATTGTCATGAATGATACTATTGTTGTTGAGAAGAATAGTTACTCATGAAGTATCTTTTGCCTTTGAGTTTGTCTGCAAGTTTCCAATGAGAAAATTCAATACAGAGGCATGAAACGAATATGTATAAATTTCAATATACATAGTAGGTAGTCAGATTCGTAAATTTTCAGCATTATTGAGATACATTTCCATGACTCATTACAAAGTCAATTATTAGCTAAATTAAAATTTAAAACCTCTCAGTGCTTTTTTTATAAATCAGTGAAGCTTTCATGCACATTGTGAGAAAAAGTGTATTTATATACAAATAGGTCATGGTTTAAAATGGAATTTAGACTCAGAAACAGAATTCACACAATGCCTTAATTGGAGGTATACTTGTATATTTCTTCTCAGCCAAAGAGTAACTGTATTAAAAAGCTAACCTCATTCGGGTTCCTGCATGAACCTAGAGAAATGGCAGGGCAGACAGACATTTAGTCCTGGGTTTTCAGAGAAAACTTATCTGAAGATATCCTATTACCTGGCCAAAGTTACGGGGGCAGAATTGAAGCAATCTCAAAGTTACTTTGAAACTTCATTGAGCATCACTTTCTTAGATAATAATCATGATCCAGGGACTGTTTAATAAAACTGAGATTTGTGAACTTCCAATTAGCATTTCTTCTGTTTGTCCCCTGGGGTCATTTTATGCATCATTCCCAGATTATTACAGAAATGATCCAGAAAAGATCCATTGAGCATTCACCTGAAAAGAAACAATGAATTAAATACCACACACACACACTAGAAACTTAGGCTCAGCTTGCAAATATTTCACAATGCGTTTTTTGAAGACAGAAATTTTTTTTTCAAAATAAATAAAGGAAGCAAGATGGTGCTATTTTAAAAATGCGTATTTTAGGGCCCGGCGCGGTGGCGCAAGTGGTTAAGGTCCTCGCCTAGCACGCCCGGGATCCCATATGGGCGCCGGTTCTAATCCCGGCAGCCCCGCTTCCCTTCCAGCTCCCTGCCTGTGGCCTGGGAAAGCAGTCGAGGACGGCCCAAAGCTTTGGGACCCTGCACCCGCGTGGGAGACCCGGAAGAGGCTCCTGGCTTCGGATCGGCAAAGTATCGGCCCGTTGCGCTCACTTGGGGAGTGAATCATCGGATGGAAGATCTTCCTCTCTGTCTCTCCTCTCTGTATATCCGCCTTTCCAATCAAAAAATAATAAAAATAAATCTTTAAAAAAAAAAAAAAAATGCGTATTTTAGGAATAAGTTAGTATGATGTATTGATAATAAACATCTCCTGGTAAGTTCGAGGACGTGGGTAATTTTAAATCTCATTGTCACATATTGCTATTTGCTTAATTAAATGTTGTCAGCAATATTTAATATTTACATTTCTACCCAGTCCCAGTATAATGAGTATCTATTTCCACACACACTCATTCATCCCTTACCATTTGCAGTTTGACAGACATAAAATTGTCTGATTTGTATTTTAGAATGTATTTTCTGGCACTGTTGTGGGACATGTAATGGAAACAAATACTTGAAATATTCTTACAGGAGCTGCTCAATGCGTGTCAGGCAAATAAGTGAGTTTCTTAACTAGAACATACACACTGCTGATGGAAGTAGAGGCTGAGTTGAAGAATCATGATACTCAACAGAAATGCTTTATCTGGTACAAATACGTATAAGTAAAATGTAAGCATTTCTGTGTAAATAGCTGCATAATTATAGCTCAGTGTATTCAAATAAATGCATTGTTCATCTACTGTTCCCATAGAATTTGGATATGACTATTATATCTAATATCTTTTCTCTCTTGAAATAATTTTTGAGGTTTGTATAAGAGTACATATGTGTGAAAGAGAAAAATACAATGGCGCTATTAAATATTCTTGTGTTAGAAAAATATTTAAAAAAAAAGGATATGCATTCATGGAACATTTGCAATTTTTAGTTTTGTGAGCCTGAGGAAAGCAGACACTTTTTCTGGTGATGGGTTGGTTAGATGCTTTGGGTAATAGAGGCTGTGAGGGTTGGAGGGGCAAGTCTTGTGTTGGCGGTTTAGAATGTGAAAGATAGAAGAGGAAGGAAATAAAGCCGAGCAGGGAAATGTCTCACTTCAGATACAGATCGGATACCCAACTAAGGAAGTTGGGGAAGAAGCAACATATAGCACTGCAGATCTAACACATTTTGGCCAAACCCATGGGAAGTTCTAGAGCAGACTTATACTTCAAAGGAATCCTGCACTGCACATATCATATATGCTTTAGCATAGTCACCAACCTCAGTTGTTGGCCTGTATGTCCCTGAGAAGAGTACAGCCTTGGCTTGACTCCTGACGCCAATCTTGAGGACAGACAAACCAGAAGTTCCCAGCTACCTGTATTCCTAGCTCAACCAAATCTTTTTTCAATGAAAATCCTACACATGAACCTCTTTGTGCACCATGTATCCACCCTACCGCAGACATTAAGGTCAACAAGGAAACTTTTCATCCTATCAAATGAGCTGGTGTGAGATAAAAAACACGTTTATGAGTGACCAGCAATTCTTGTTAGATAAAATGGTCAGGGTTTAATGTTCACATTTATTTCTAAAGATGCCATATGTATAGAAAATATATTCACCAACTCAGATTTTACCAAAAGAAAGACAATGTCAGGGTTATACAAAGACTTATTACATAAGATAGAATGCCTGAAGTGGGATTTGCCTATCGTTAAAGATACGTGTTGGAATACCAATATATGCTATTTGAGTCCCTGAGTTCAAGTCCCACATGTGCTCCTGATGCTGGTGTTTTAGTAATGTGCGGTGGCTGAAGTTGTTGGGTCCCTTCAACTAATGAGAGATTGAAATTCCATTCTGTGATTTCATTCTTACCCAGCCTTGCAAGTATTTGGGGACCAAGTCAGCAGATAGGAGTTCTAGACATCTGTCCATCTCTCTACTTTTTAAATTAAGTAATTAATGAAAACAGAGTAGAGTACATGCCTTATCTGTCCATACTTTGGAAGAATCCTGACAAAACTGTGTCAGAAAATATTGTCTGATGGGCAGGTATTGGTTGTAGCAATTAAGTCATCACTTGGGACAAACACATCACATTGAGACCCTTCCACATCTGATTTAGCAGTTGCTGACATGTATCCCAGCAGGAAGCAGGTTCAAATGCTGAGGTCCCTACTATGCATGCGGAGGAACTGAATTGAACTCCAATTCAAATAGCTATTACAGATATTTGTAAATTAATCAGCAGATAAAAGGTTCTTTCTCGGTGTCTTTCCAATAAGATGAAAATAAAACATAAGTGAAAACTTTGGCTGAATTCCTACAGATACTGGTGTGAGATCATTCCCTGTAATCCAGAATTCCAGCTTTCTAAATTTGATTCAGAGCTTAGCTGTAATAAACGTTGTTATTCAAATGAATGCTGCTTCAACAGGCCACCATGTGATATAATCATTATTTTTATAAAGAAGAAAATTGCTCATTGGTTACTATCTGAAATCCTTTACGAAATAATGTTTTGGACAAGTGGCTGGTGCAGCAAAGCAAAGACTTTGCCACCGCCTATGATGGTGACATCGCTATGGGTGCCAGTTCAAGGTCTGGCTGTTTAGTTCCATTCCTGCTCCCTGTTATTGCGCCTTGGAAAGCAGCAGAAGATAGCCCCAGCAGCTTGGACCTCTACCATTTGAACAAACTCGCATCTTCTCATTTTGGCTTGACCAACATTGGTCCTCATGGCTCCTTGAAAGAGTGAACCAGCCATTGGAAGATCTCTCATTCTTTGTCTCTTGTCTGTATGACTTTGTTTTTTTCTTTCACTCTCTGAACTTTGCCTAGCAAATAAGTAAAAAACTTAAAAAAAAAAACAATGTTTCTAGTAATAAAAATAAAAAGTAGTAAAAAAAGGGGAAATCCTTAGGTATCTTATTTTTTCCCACATCATAACAAGGCTGAGAGAACTCTAGACTTTTGAAACAATAAGTTCAGTATTTCCTTTGCTTATTGCATTACACTTTTATGGAACAATTTTCTGTTGCCATAACATGTCAATCTCTCTGCTTTGGGGAGAGCCCCGACTCCCATTTCAGGCACCACTTTTAGACCACAGAGAGATATACCATTTGTTCCTTTTCTCTTCTGCAAGAGTAACACAATCAGGAATTATTCTG